ACTAAGACCCAATGCTGGAATAAATAAACAAAACAAAAATTTTTTAAATGCATTCCTGATAAACAGAATCTCCCCATTACCATAGATATAATAAAATAATTAGGTTCATAACATTTTTTTTCCCGCCAGCCTGATCTGTTTTTCTGGTTGGTTGGGTTATAAGATATTTTGAGTAGTTTTGTGTTTTTTTTAATCCTATGTAAAAATAATCCAATAAAATGAAAGACAATGTCAGTGTCTTTCCAGTTTATTCCAAAAGAAAATCCAAAAGAGAGTGATATATTAGGGTAGAGTAGACCAAATCTAGACAGCAATTAGTCAAATCTACATGAAAATAAACCTGGAAAATTGCATAGAGGGATAGTCTTGCTAATCATACAATTTAAATAGTAGGGAGGGACTTCCCTGGTGGTCCACCCACCAGTGTGGGGGACGAGGGTTCCCACATGCTTCGGGCAACTAAGCCTGAGCACTGCAACCACTGAAGCCCGAGCAGCCTGGAGCGTGTGCCCCTCAGCAAGAAAAGCCGTCACTAGAAGTCCACACACCGCAGCTAGACAAGGAGCCCCCGCTTGCCACGACTAGACAAGGTCCGTGCTCAGCAATGAAGACCCAGCACAGCCAAAAATAAATAGGTATTTAACAAATAAATACACAAATACCAGAGGGGAAGTAATTTTTCAATAACAGCTTCAGTCATTAGCTACATTATTGGAATATCAGCTGGTGAATATCCTACAAGAATGTGAAACTTCTGTACTTCAAAGGATATAATAAACAAGTTAAAATATACATGACAAATTAAGAACATAATTTTGCAGTACACCTGCAAACAGATAAGTTTTTTAACAAAAGGATTATATATCATTAAGTAAACTAGTATAAGAATGAGCAAAGGATATAAAGACATTGCAAAGAAGAATAAAAATTGCCCATAAACATAAGATATTGAATTAGACTTATAATCTGGAAATGATACATTGCATGTGCATATTTCCACAAATATTCAAAGATTTCATTGTATTATTATTATAAACAATATTTAATAAAATATGGTACACTACTGTGCAGGCATTAATAATAACCATTTAGATTTCAAATACCGACAAGGAAAGTATAGTATAACCTAGCTTTTGTTAAAAACTGGTTATACATACAACACATTAATAAAAAAATTCTTAGTTACATGTATTTGCTGTAGGAAGAAAATATACCAAACTATGAACAAAATTTTCTCTGAAAGTTGTGGTTATAAAGGATGTTTATAATATTCTATATCTCAATTTATAAAGCAAATGTGTATTACATTTATAAGCCACAACAAAATCAAGAATTTCCATTTGGTGAAAGAAAAAAAAGTTTGGGGTTTAGAAAATTATTTGGTGAGAAAATACATTTCTATACCTTATGAAGAAAAAAGGACGTGGGCTTTCTCTATGGGTTATTTTCCTTCAAATTTATGGCTTTGTTATTCCTTCTGCTTATAATTTTAAAAGTAAACATTTTAAACCAAGAGAAATCAAGCATCATATTTATTCTTTAAATGGTTATGAAAGGGTGTAACTTAATTGCAAATAAAAATGTCTTAGAAGTTGGATCTAACTCATAGACATTGAACATCAGCTAACAGAAGGGTATGGGAGGTAAATTTTACAGATTTTGTGGATGACAGAGACAGGCTTAGACATACAGTGATGAAATACAGTTTAATAAAGGCATGACAAAAAACAGTTAACACAAAATATTCTCTGCTGGTTTGGGTCTCTTCTCTCCCCTCTAATGTGTACTGTGCATCCACATTGTGTTAACCAGATATTTACAGCAAAAATAACTGCTTAACCATAAAGGTCAGTTTTCCTTTCTGACACCAAACATTAACTCCTTAGAAGATAATTTACTTACTGATGACCTTATTAATGTCACAAGCTATATTATTTGTATTCTGCCTATTTTACAATTCGCATTCTGCCTATTTTTTCTTGCATTACCAAATGTGTGACTGAGCCTCTAATAAAAATGACTAGGTGACTTAATCAAATGTATAGTTCCATAAGATCTATGATTATAATAGTATAGCTCTAGATATGGGAAGAAGCAATAAGAAGGAACAATTTCCTGGACAATAACAGACCAGTAAAATAGATTAACAGGGGCCTAATTCAGCAATGGCACATTGAGAGGCCTATCAACAAAATCCCCATCTGACCTCAGAATGAGCATTCCTAGTGTCATGAGACAAATTGATCACAAAATGCCTCCCAAAACCTCAGTCAAAATTAAGATCAAAAGGGAGGGGATTGTAAAATAAGGAATGTTGTCCACCATCCAGTTCTACAGGAATCTAAGTCATCAGCCACTGTAGTCAGCGTCCTACAATACACCCTGAAAGGAATTCAGGGCAAAAACCAAGATGAGGCATTTTGTGTTCTGGGAAAACTGGTAGACCTGGTTCTTGGATAGATATTTTCAGGAGAAAATTTTATGAACTCAGTTTCTTGCAGTTTCCCATACTTAGAAAAGCACTCAAACCATTAACTGAGGTGTCTATTCCTTTCGAATAGCAGTCAGTTTCGAAGATATGTGCACATACCCCCTTGCAAAATCACATATACCCTGACCTCTACTCTTACCTCTTTGGAATAGTCCTGAGATTTCTGCAAGACTGTCTCACAGGCTATAATCCTCTGGTTGGCTTGGATAAAATATTCCATTTCTTTCTCAGATTGACTATGGATTACTTTTTTTATCAATACGAGAGAGGTATTTCAGCTTAATCTTATTTCAGAGCCTCACTCCATTTCTCCTATCTCCCTCCCACAAAAGTTATTTCTCTAGGAGACAAATAAAAAAAGATATTTTCTTTAAGACAGCTGTCACTGTCCCCCCCCCACTCCAATATTTCAATATAAACATTCTAGCTAGATTGTTGGTGATTTTCAAAACATGCTTATTCAGAGATCTCCATGTTATTCATAGAAAGAGCTCTGTAATTAGGAACTCTTTAGAAATGCTTTAACAAAATAATTTAACCCTAAACATTTAAAAGTGAATTTGTACCAGTAAGTCCAATGAATACCTTGAAAAAAAATTTTTTTTCCTAGAGGCTAAAAACACAAGTTCTTAGGAACTGAGTCCTACCTTATAAATTCACAATTGTTACAACACCCTTGTTGGTTTTATGTGCTAATGATAATCTACCAAGTATGAGATAGAAGGGCAAAACGACTCCAGCAGAGAAGCTGAAGAACAGAACCAACCAGGAGGAAGCTTCTCGTTGGCACTAGTAGACTATACTTTGCCCACGTAAGGACATGCAACCTTCTGAAAAAAGAAATCAGTCCTTTGGTATTTTTAGAAAGTGCCTTCTTAGCTGCTCAAGGAGATGACAAACAGCTGGCCTTGTTTTATCGGCCTGTGAGACAATTCACATTCCTTTTCACCAAAAGGCAAAGATTAGATACGGGTCCCCACCCTGGCTCCAAGTCCATCCTGAAGTACAAGTGTTTGGTTATGACATCACCTCCCCACACCTGGAGACTTGTCACAGCATGGCCAAGTCCAAACAATAACTCGCTCCTCCACCCAACACTCTCTTCCTAATACTCCATGGGACAGAATACATTTGAAAAATGGGGCACCTTCTTAAGGCAACTACTTCCTGCTTTTTGAGTTCCCTTCCATAAAATGTCTCCTCTCAAATTATTCTGAATTCTGCTTTTAGGATTCTCTTCCTCAAATAACACTTGGATGAGGTCTGGTCACATTGCAAGACCTTCAGCAGATCCTTTGTCTTAATAAAATTCCAACCCCATAGTAAAGCAATCAAGAGTCCTCAGCATCAATGAATAATGCTTTTAAGTCTCCCGGCCCCCCCCCCCCCCTACCATCCTACATTTCTTGAGTGTTGCTGCTTGGTTTCCCTCATGCCATTTCTTGTATATTCCAATGCTCATTCTGTCTATGGAAATCTGTAGTTCTACCTATCTTTTTTTTTCTACCTACCTTTTCTAAGGATTAGCTCAAAGGTTCTTTTTTCCAGTTTTCAAATGCCCTCCAAATGAATATTGAAACTCCTGGCTCTGTGTATTTAAAGGCAGTCTTCCCTAGCTGCCTCTCCTACCACCCCAAAATAGCTGAGGTACCTTGCCCACTTCACATGGCCATGTGATCAATCTCCTAAGAGGAAACCATCCATTTTCTCTTACTAGTATCCAAGCTCTTCTTAAAACACATTCTATTTTACAGTTTTCCTCTTTTAATGACCCAAAGCACATAGAACAACTCAACACAAGTGTGCCCTCGATACGTAACTGAATAAATCGAGAAACAGCAATCAATTGAGAAATTAGTGCTTTTCTAGAGCTTTTGACAGAGAGGCAGTTCAATGGATATGGATATTGGGGGTCTGAGTGATCAAGATTTAGGTTCACCACATTACTCACCTGCTGTGTCTCAAGCATTTCCTCTAAAAATGAAGCTAACAATCCCTACTTAATACGGTGATTGTGACAATGGGATAGTAATGCATAAAGAACCTCAACACGAATTGTCTGTGGGACATGCTAGAGAGATAACTGTTAGCTATCTCTGGTCATAGGAGCCTGCAATGCAATGTTTAAGGGGTATTTAAACAACTGTTGTGTGTGATTTAGGGAATGGTCAAGTCTTTAGTTGGACTGGCCTCTCAACAACCACTTCTTTTTTTTTTTGGCTGTGCCTTGTGGCATGTGAGATCTTAGTTCCCCAACCAGGGTTCGAACTTGTGGTCCCTGAAGTGGAAGCTAACCACTGGACCGCCAGGGAAATCCCAACAACAACTTCTTGAATGCAGGCAAGCCCCCTTGACTTCTCCATGCTGCTGAAGTTTCCTCAGGTTATATACATAATGTGAAGAAGACATTTACCTAACAGAAACGTTGAGTATGATAATGTATCTAAAAACACTATGTAAACTATGGTAAAAGATCAGTTTTATTATGGACTTTGACTCAGAGAAAAAAGCCAAAAGGATTAAACATTTTATTCAATTTCTAGCATGTTTTATGAGGGCCTTGAAAATAATTTTTCCTTTATCATATAATTTCCCTTCTCTTTAGTGTTTATAGAACACTAAATTTGAATACTCAAGTTACCAAAGTGAAAGCTAAACCTGGAAGGATTATATTTCGCACCCTCTGCTGGCCTCGGAGGAGAATAACACTACCTAAGACTAATTCAAGATCATCTAAATGTTTATTTTCATGGACTCGACTGTAAAGATGTCATGGCATTCCACATAAAGACAAAAACATAGTTTCAGCTCTGTATTATGTATCAGACAATTAAACACAATTTGTTTATGCCTACTTTTTGTTTGTAACAATTATCATAGGATTCAAATCTAGAAAATTATTTTTGTACAAAGGCTAGCTGCCCACCACTTATTTTTTCAAAATAATTCCTTTAAAAGATTCTGCTGTTTCTATTGATATATTTAAGGCTGAAACCCACTGAAAATACCCAAACTTGTAACATCTGAATTTCCTTTGCTACCACTAATTTTTGCAACCACATAATTTACTACCAAACTTACAAGGTTGTATATACTAATTTAACTGTGAATCATTTTTTTATATTCAAAGTCTTAGATTATGTATATGAAAACTAATTTATTAAACCTTTGTACACAAAGATGAACATACCTGTATAGCAAGCTTATATGAAGAATGAAGTTACAAAAAAGTAAAAGTGTTATTAAAACGGATGCATGTAAATCATTTACAAAAATACCCCAAATGGTATAAAGCTGCTCATCCCTGATTTTTCTCATTTGGTTGTTAAGAGTTGAAATATGAATTTTAAATGGTTAGAATTTTTTTTTTAAAAAGTGATATATTAAACTTACATAGAGGATAATTAGCAAAATGTAGAAAGGGAAAATGATGTACAAAAGACAGATTAAAAACCATCACTCCTGATGGACATTCACAATCCAAAAATAGTATAAACCTTAACAAACCATATCTAAACTGGCTCCTACTTACCTCCCCCCAAGTTTTTATCAGTGAAAATAAAATATAGTAAACCAGCAAGCTCAGTCTTTCCGTTCTTTAAAAGAGGCCTGACTTTAGACAACAATTAAGCCTTAGACAGATTTTTTTTTTCTTTCACATGGGAGGAACAAATAGGAAAACAATTTTACCTGTCCACTTAGTCCTAATTACCAGAACACAGAGTTCTAATTAAATAGTACTGGGTGCATGTCAAGCAGTCATTCAGAAGTCTTCTTGTGTTTTTGCTGGTTTCGGGGTGAATTCTTTAACAAGTTTCTTATCCTGAGGTACATTCCAGTAGATTCTGCCATGTTCTCAAATTCAAACGGCGTTATTCCAGTTGCAAACTTGCTCATGTCGGGGATAGCACTGTGGGCCTTCGCGGCTGCTGCAGGACTGCAGTCCTCGTGAAGGAGCTGCTGGCTGCTCCCTCCATTCCTGACCTCACTGTTTGACTCGACCCTGCCGTGGTCAAGAGCACCTTTTGGGTCTACCTGAGTGGACTCTTCCTTTTCCTTCTGGCCAAGCAAAGCAGTCTCAGAATCTGGGCTCGAGGCTTGTTCCTCTTCTGATTTCTGTGCAGCAGTGTCTGGTACCTCAGCCTCCCCTGGCACCTGCTTTTCGGGTGTTTTTCCCTCTGGGACAGGGAGGTCAGGTTCGTTCGGACAAGGTGAAGAGGCCACCGAATTCCCGGTTAAAGGTGTGTCTACAGGAATATCCGAATCACTATTGATGCTCTCGGCCTGCTCCAGGGCCGCCCATATCTGCCTCTGTTGTTCTTCTAGCTCCTCCAGAGTCAGCGAGTCCTCATCCATAGTCACGGATGCCGTTCTCGTCTGGGGTGAGTCACTGGGAGTCAGCGGCGGGGTGCCCTTGGGGAGCGGAGGAGTGAAGATGGGTGGAGGGGTGCCCCGGGGGAGTGGGGGAGGCGTGCCAGGGGGCAGCGGGGGCTGAAACTGAAAAGCTTCACTGCTTGGGGACCCACGCGGGACCTCGGCATCTGAAATGAGGATGTTGAGATACTGAGTTGTCATACAGCACTCGATTTTACTACCATTTATTATTTGAACTCAGGTGAATCCAGAGGTTTGATGGCAAAATAACAGGCTCAAGAGGGGAAAACTGGATCTTCAGATACCATACGTGTAAGCTGTGCTCAGTGGTGTCTGACTCTTTGCAATCCCATGGACTGTGACCCACCAGGCTCTTCTGTCCATGGAATTCTCCAGGGAAGAATACTGGAGTGGGTTGCCATTTCCTTCTCCAGGGGATCTTCTGGACCCAGGAATCAAACCTGCATCTCCTGCACTGGCAGGTGGATTCTTTACCACTGAGCCCCCCCGTAAGCATATCATCATCATTGCTTAATGGCCTCAATCCACCTGAAAAGAACATCTGCAGGGGAAGAGGTGAGGCTCTCTGGTGCCAGTAACTCTGAGGGTAACCCTTAACACGGTAGGAAATCTGGCTGGAAATGAGGCTGCCTGGACTCTCGAGTGGGCGGATGTGGAAGAAGCAGCAGAGGCGGCAACTGGGAAACTCCCTGGCTTAGTTCTCAGTTCTGTACCCCAGTCTAGATTGCTCGACAGAACTGTGGGTTCATGTGGTCAACTGGTCACTGGTCATCGCTACCTGGGTGTCTCACAGACACAACAGACCTGATCTGTACAAAACAAGGAATCTTTTCCTAAAACTCAGACTCTTCCCCCGTTTGTTAACTCGTTCACTGGCACCACCAGTAGTATCTGGTTTAAGTCTCCAAAACCGAAACCTAGTCACCAGAGTCCTCCTCCTTTCCTTCCACCCACACCCGGTCCTTAGCTCTCTGGGGTCCACCCTTTCCCACAGCCTGTCATAGCTGCTACATTATTTTGGGACCATTACTGTTGGTCAGGAGTATCAGAGTCATTCCTGCTTCTTGACTCATCTTCCTTATACTCATCCTCAAACAATTAGTCTTTCTAAAACACAAATCTGGTCCTACTAATCTTTCCATCTCATTAGAAACCCTTTAGTGCCTTGCCATGATCTAGAGGAAGAAGTTCAATCTCCTCTGTACCATATGAGGCTCTCACAACCAAGAACCTACCTATTGTGACTACATATTTCTTACAGCCCAGTCTGAACTCCAGCTATCACACTGTTGGTGGACAAACATGTTGTGATGCTTCATGCTTCTGTATTTGCATTTCTCACTGTCTTGAATGCCCTAACCCTACTCATCTCGCCCTGGTCACATCCCTCAGGACCATCACAATCCTGCTTGACCACAGGTTTCATGGTAAACCCAAAGGATTCAGAGAACAAAAGACCAGGGGAGTACAGAGAGCAAGGCCTTTGTTCCCTTCCCCTGGCTTTCTGAAAGGATGGACTTTCTTCATGGTCTCTCTCTCCTGGGAGACGGGACTTCATGAATTTATACACCTGGGAAGAATAACTGAGAAAGCTTGACTCAGTTCTGCCCTTCCTCCTCTTGGGAATGAGCTCCCAAAGGGGAGTATTTTCCACTGTGTGTCTCAAAGCACTGCCCATCAGAGGGGCCAGTCCAGATCCAGGGCCCCTGGGACTGGGTGGGAAGGTCTGTCTGAGGAACCCAGTTGGCGGGCCCATCCGTCTCTCACGCCAAGCTATAAGCCTTCCAACTCAGCTCTGACTGGCAATAGTGGAGGTGCTCTGATACCCAAGGATAAAAGCAAAGATTTACTCTTGAGTTACTGATCATTAAGAGCTTCCTCTTTCTTAGGGAACTCAGCAGCATACCAACTCGTTCTACTTTCTCAATGAAAGCAAAACCACGGGGTGGAACCTACCCGAGTCCAGTTCCATGTCGGCGGGTGAGGCTGCTGCGCTGTTTTCCTTCTTCTGCTTCTTTGGACTACTGGGGCTGGACTGAGATGAAGACCTTTTGCTGCTAGACTTCATGCTTGGCTAACGGAGAACCAAACCAAACACAAGTGAGTTGGGGGAGACAAAGAATTACACTCCATCCCTTCATTTAAAGATGATACAGAAAACCAATCCAGGTAACTGGTGAATGTAGTTACCTTTTTCCTTTGGATTCATCAGAAAACAAAGAGTGCTTTATATACAAAACAAGAGAAGGCAACGAGATGCCTATGAGTTACGAAACCCCATGGATGAAAGCAATACATTTTTCTAAACCACACTCTGAAAATCTATTTACCGCTTGGAAGTTAGAAGTTAGGTAATTGGCAAACACATCCTTCTGCTGACACGCCTGCATTGGTATTGACCCAAATATCCTCCATTCCTAACAATGAAAAGAGAAGGGAAAAAGAAGTGTGTATTTGGAAAATGTCATGCTCTGAAGAGTCTGCTTATGGGAGGCAAAATGGAGATATCAAATCACATTCCTGCTTCATATGTGACTTTTCCTTTTTGCAGGGGGTGGAGGGTAAAGAAACTAATAGTGCACTGAAAGGGAAAAAAAACCCAACTCTGCTTGCACAACAGTCAGGACAGAATACTAAAAGACTACTTGACAAAACCACTTGGGCCATAAAGGTTCTGCCTACTATTAAGTTACAGGCGGTGACAACAGACTCTCAGCAGCCTGGCTGGTTCCCACTGCCTCCTGACACTAACCAGTACTGCCCATAGACTGTTCCTTGTCCCTTTCTCCTAACTTGCTCACTCAGGCTGTTTTCTACCTTCTGTCTTTTAAAATTGAGTAGTAATCGCTCCTTTCTCTCTTATTGCCAGTAACACATTCAACAGCGGCTCTCAACAGGAATCACTTTGGGCTCCTGTGAAGCCAGCAGACTCTAGGGACAAAGTTAAGTCTAAGTGGGGGAGGGAGTGCTTAGGAATGTGCACTTCTAATGCGTACCCCAAGGGGATTCTGATGTAGGCTGGGATTTGGACCCAACTTCCAGAGGCACCGATGGTTTGTATATGCAATTTTGCCAGCCCTTAACTAATTACACACATCTTCAGATCTGTTCACCAGACTCTAAGTTTAGACCTTTGGCTGCTTCTCTACTGCCCAGTCCCTAAGAATAGCTAGAATGTGTTTTTTTTAAAAGTCATTTATTTGGCTGCATTGGGTCTTAGTTGCAGCATGTGGGATCTAGTTCCCTGAGCAGGGATTGAACCCAGGCCTCCTGCATTGGGAGCTCAGAGTCTTTGCCTCTGGACCATGAGGGAAGTCCCTAGAATGCATTTTTATTAAAATACCACCACCACCATCACCACTACTACAGTTAATTGTTGAATCCTGAAACATAAGATAAAAGTTGGAAAAGATTAAGTATAGCAAACCTTTCTTGATTGGAGAAATTTTACTTTGTGGGGGGAAAAGGAGGAAAAGTAGGAAAAAGTTATAGTACACGTAGATTGATTAAAGGTAGAAAAATATTTCCCAAGCAATTCTGTAAAATTACAATACTGCTTTAAATCCCCCCATGTTGTTAAAAAAAAATTTTTTTTTTAAAATTTTAGAATAGTTTCAGATTTACAGAATCTAATCATTCTATTTTAGTTCCTTAGGGCATAATATCAGAAAAAACTGGGTTTTCTTTTTGATGAATTCAAGATTTCACTTAACATTCTAGTCAACACAAAGAAAATTAAAAAGTTAAACTCATAAGCAACACATTTTGTTGCTGTTGTTCAGTTGGTAAGTCATGTCCCCCTCTTTGTGACCCCATGGACTGTAGCACACCAGGCTCCTTTGTCTCCACTATCTCCCGGAGTTTGCTCAAATTCGTGTCACATTTACTATTTTTTTTTTGGCCACACTGCATGGCTTATGGGAGCTTAGTTTCCCAACCCCGGATTGAGCTCCCACCCTCAGCACTCAAAGTGTAGAGTCCTAACCACTGGACAGCGAGGGAATTCTCAACCTTTACTTCTTTATGAGACACTAACTGCTATATAAGCTAACATTTTGAACAATCTACACAAATAATTTTATATCCCAGAAGAATATAAAGCCAATATACTTACATCTGGAATTCCTCTGGGAGTAGATATATTAAAACCTGGATAGTTTACCAGTTTCGAGAGGTCGTAAGTGACACTTTTACTTGGCTGTACTTCTCCAGCTTCTGTCTCTCCATCAGCACCATCTATTATGGATCATCAAAAAGGTTAACATTGCTAAGTGCCCATATAAATCCCTCTCTGGACCAAAAGCAGACCTGGAAAGTGCTTATATTTATGACCACAAAATTATTCTGAGAATGGCTTTCATTATAATTTGTCTGAACCATTAGAATTTTTAAACAACATGGACATACCATTTTGATAAAAATATAAATACTGAAAAACCTGGAAAGTTTAGTTCTTCCATGAGTTGCTTAAAAGTCTATTTTGCACTGATTTTATGATTTTCCTAATGCTCTATTCTAGTTCTTTTATTTAAGAGACATTTATATAATGGTTACTATATAAGAAAAATGTTTTCTTCTCAGATAGTGCTTTAAACAGTTTATAAGTATTCACTCACTTAATCTTCCCAACAACCCTAAGAGGTACTTACTACTCATACCACTTTACAGATGACAGCAATCCTTGAAGGACAGTTGAGAACTACTTCATTCTTTTTGAAAAGTACATTAAGTAAAGCGAACATTTATGTTATTAGTCCCATGTCTATATACCTAAGGTAACTAAATGGTTGATGAGAAGTTTCTCTTTATAGAAGTTTTCAGGATAATAAGCCAAGAAGTAATGAAAGAATGAGAATACAACCACTGTGCCATCCCCAATAACTAGATATTGGCAATGTTCACTGATGACTGATTTTACCACCAATTCACAGGAAACAGAGGGACAGAGAAATACACTAAAAGAAAACCATCGGGATGATCAGGAAAATCTCAAAAAACCCCAAAGGACAAAATTCAGAGCTTTGTTAAAAACAAGAAAGAGAACTTACAGATTAAAAGAGATTTAAGAGACCCTCAATTATCTACAACCATGAGTCCAAAGAATCCCTATGTGAACAAAGAAATTTAAGAAGAGATCGGTGGTCCAGTGGCTAAGACACTGCATTTTCAATGCAGGGGGCCCAGGTTTCATTCTTGGTCAGGGAACTAGATGCCACATGCCACAACTAAAACAACCCACATGCCACAATGGATATCAAAGATCCTGTGTGCTGCAACTAAGACTAGATACAGCCAGATAAATTTTCTTTTTTAAAGAGAGAACAACAGACCTGCAAGCACCTACAGAAAGTGGCATGAGTAATGATAATTTGAATGTCAGCATGACCTGGGGATATAAAATATTAAAAGGACTGTGCTAAATATACTCTTCTTGGTACTACGTGAGAAAGGGGGCTTGGTAAATGTTTTGTTTTTATTTTAATGACCTAAGTAATATCTAGAAACACTTTCTTTTCTTTTTTAATTTAGAGCATTAGAGATAATACTAAAATCTTAAGAGCAATCCTGTTTTCCTTCTCAGGGATAACCACTGTTGAGTTTGCTGTATATTGGTTAAGACTTTTAAAAACTTATTTACTATCTACCAGATGTCAGGCACTGTGCTACATGATAATAAACATATATGAACTGTGACAGGGCATGAAGAATACAAACAGGGTGCAGTGATAAAGTCTGGCAGGACACACAGATGAACATAGGAGAGAGATGTTTAAATAAGGTGGTCAGGGAAGGCCTCTATGAGTCTAAACCCTAAAATCTAGATGGTTCCTTTCAAAAGTATCTTTTACAAACATAACCCCTTACAGAAAATATACAGCTTGGTTTTCACCCATGTGGGATTTTTTGCTTTTTTTTTTAAGATCAACGGTAGTAGTAGTAGTGGTGGTGGTGGTGTTAGCGCTCAGTCGTATTTGACTTTTCTAGACCCCACAGACGGTAGCCTGCCAGGCTGCTCTGTTCATGGGATTCTCCAGGCAAGAATACTAGAGTGGGTTGCCATTCCTTTCTCCAGGGGATCTTTTCAAGACAGGGACCAAAGCCGGGTCTCTCTCACTGAAGGCAGATTTTTTACCATCTGAGCCACCAGGAAGATCAACAGTATCATAATATATAAGCTATCCAGAAATTTATCTTTTAAACTCAGTATTTCGTAAGAATCTTGCCATGGGAGCTCCATGGATTTACTCCATTTATTAAATTCTACAAGGATTCTACCCCCTAGATCTACCATGGTTTACTTAGCCGTTCTCCCTTACGGCCTTAATGTTGCTTTAAAATATATATATATATTCTTAAAATTAATTTATTTTGGCTGCGCCGGGTCTTAGTTGTGGCATGTGGGATCTAGCTCCCCAACCAGGGATCGAACCCGGGTCCCCTGCACTGGGAGCACAGAGTCTTAGCCACTGGACCACCAGGGAAGATCTCTTAATGTTGTTTTTAATTTTTCACTATCATATTCAATGCTAAAAAGTATCTTCACATACATACATTTCCTTGGGCACATGTGTGAATATTTTTCTAGATACCTAAGAGAAGTTTTAGATTGTATTAATGAGAAGGTTTATTTATTCAAACTTTTATAGATCTCCTGGCAGAGATGGGTCATATTTCTCTTACTATTACTGAGAAAGGCAAGAGTTTATGAGGTCTAGCTGGAGAGCTAATACCTTGCTCGGTAGTCACTGAGCAAGTCCAGATAATTATTTGATAACTCTCAATGAAGTTTTAGTTCCTTCCTTGTAAAACAAAGGAAAATCATGGTATTTTTTAGTTAACTCAGTACACACTAAACAAGACAGCCATTCCCATTCTATTTTATTGTGACTCTTTAATTTAAAAAGAGAGAGAGAGATAGAACCCTTAAGTTGACTTATCTAACTGAACATACTATACCTTTCCCATCATAGAGCGCAAGCCCTGAGTTCTCCAGTTCGGCCTCTTTGAGCCACCCTGGTGGGTAGCCTAGCTGGCGCATTCGATATATAAAAGGTGGAAGACTCTTGTCCGTCACACCCAGTGCGTCCTGGAGTTCCTCACTGAGTAAAAATAAAAGAGGAGGAAAAAAAATACTGTATTCTTGCTTGGATGAAAACACATACTGTTCTATTATTTTAAAACACTTCCATGTCCTTAGAGAACAGACTTGTGGACACGGCCGTGGTGGGGAAGAGGATGGGACAAATGGAAAGAGTAGCATGAAAACATATATACATCATCATATGTAAAATAGACAAACAATGGGAATTTGCTGCATGACTCAGGGAACACAAACCCGGGCTCTGTAACAACCTAGAGGGGTGGGATGGGGTGGGAGGTGGGAGGGAGGCTCAAGAGAGAGGGGACATACGTATACCTAGGGCTGGTTCATGTTGATGTATAGCAGAAAAACAATATTGTAAAGCAATTATCCTTCAATTAAAAATAAATTAAAAAAACCCAAATCACTTCCATGTCTTATATTACACAGCATGTGGCACAGCAGTGCCTATCAATCACAATACAGTTAAGTCCCCTACATACGAACCTTCAAGTTGTGAACTTTCAAAGATGTGACTGTGCCTCTGTATGCTAGCTATTGTAGTGTTAACTACTGTCCTTTTCAAGGTACTGTACTATAAGATTAAAATTGTTTCCTTTATCTTTTGTGTTAGTTTTTTTATGTATTATTTGTGTGAAAAGTATTAGAAACTTATGATGCTATATACACCCAACTGTGTTAGCTGGATACCTAGGCTAACTTTGTTGGACTAACGAACAAATTGGACTTATGAACATGCTTCTGAAAAAGAACTCCTTTATGTGTAGGGGACTTACTGTAGATATTTTTTGGATTAATCGATGTATCTTTTATATAGAGACTTGTGGGAGAACACTTATATCCTGATTATTACCCTGAAGATACACAGAACTTGTTCCAAATAGTGGAGACACAGAAATGACATTCTAACGTAAAATGACACAGGTACCTAATAACTCCTGGCTTAAATCTTCCAAATCTCTCTTCTACTTCTTCTGCATGATATCGCTGCTGAAAATTCTGATTGTTTGTCTCACCACAGGCATCCATATACTCTTTTCTCTTTTCGCTTATTCGAGCAGCATTTCGAGGCTAAATCGTAATGTGTTTGGAAAGAATGGTATCAAGCAGTGTAGAAATATTTCAGAAATTAAATAAACATAAGCACTTTTCCTAGGTCAAGCACACAGATTATTTCAGTTTTAATGCATAAGGAGCAAGTATAAAAGAGACCGGATAGTTTAGAAAAATAAGCAAGGAAGAGAGGCAGTCCTTCAATTTCTTATTACCTTGGCACTATCACAAAGTTTTTAAAATAAATTGTCTAAACATGAATTCTCATCATGTTTTATTCATCTTAAATAGAGAGCACTGTAATAAATTATTTTTTTAAATAATGTCTTAAAACTTACGGACAAATTTGGAAAGATTTAAAAATTAAGGACTACAGGAAAGTAAGACAGGAAGTTTCTTCATATCGCACAATGCTATAGATGCACTGAAAATATTAGAAAGCTCTGGTTCAAAGATTTTTTTTTTATATGAGAAAAATTTACCATTGGGCAATCTTTCATTTGATGCTCTTCAGAACCACAATTGAAACAGTGAGGCTTTGGCCTATTTGGTCAAAAAACAAAGATTTTCACAATGTAAATAGAAATATCAAAGCAAATCAATAAAATTCTGTGTGACAGCAACGTGTATCAGAGACAAGAAAGCACGCAGATCACCAATTACTAATATCTGCAGAAATGACCTCACTTTCACCTCCTGTCCTAATGAGTTACACAAATATTACTTTTGATCAAGTCTTTTAACCAAGAGCCCTTATGTTCTCGACTGATCTGTTACCTCTGAATTTTGTCAGTGGCTGATAACAGAAGGATTTGAGGCAAACAGATTATTGTATTTTCCATTAGGAAACTTGGAAAGGGGTAGATGGTTATAAGACAGCAATCAAAGACAGCAATGATTAATCCTTTCCACCCACCCAGGCACATCAGGCCTGAACCAATGAGTTGCAATATGATTGACTTAGAGATTTACTCTATGTCTATGTACTGAAATTCTGGTTTAATCTGTTTATTCATAGTAAGCCAGTAATATTAACTTTTCAAGCTATAAGAGTTTATGATTTTGGTTAATAAAGAAGAAAAAGAAAACAAAAGCAACTCCCCACACAAACCTTTTTGCCTTTACTTGTATTTCTTGCCCTTCTAGAGAAACAATGTGGCTGAAGACTTGCTGGTACCTTTAGTGAGTTTTATTAAGGAATAGTTATCATAGTCTGCACAATTTGGTTTTTTTTTTTAAAGGTGAACTTAATGGCAAGATGCATAAAGATCTTCATTCACTATGTAGGATACTTGGGTATTTCCCATCCTTCCGTAAGCTGAGGGTTTTCATTTAGTAGCGGTTGCCCCAATTTATCAAGGCAAAAATTAGTAAAATACAGGACACTTCCTACAACCTGCAGAAAACAAGTCAAAAAATATTGCTATTTAAGCGGAAAAAAAAAAAAGATGACATTAGATACTGTAAGACTATGATTAATTGTTTTACCAACTTATTTCTGGATGATAAAATTACTAGAAATAATAATCAACTTCCTAGTGAAGGAGTCATATCCTGATGTGTCAGTAAAATCTCCATCACTGAATTCCCTGACATTGCCTAGATCATGGAGCTTTTCCTGTTGGATCACTACTGTCAGGGGCACTCCCTTCAGACTTAAAAAGCAAAAACTAGTCAACAATTCTTCTATTTCCCATTTCTTTGCTTCCTTTTGTAGCAAGATCCTCAGAAAGCTGTCTTTATTTCTATATTCATTGTTTCCATTTCCTTGTCTCCCAATAGGAGAAAAATTCCATACAAATTTGGAAAAATTTCATACAGAAAAAGTTGGAACATCCATGAGCCCCCATCTAGGTTCAACGATGGTTAACTGACATTTCTGTGTGCACATCGCTCTCTCCATACAAAAACATACTTTTTACTAAGCCATTTTTAAAAAGTAAGCTGCCACCACTCTCACCTTAGTCTAAGCTATTATTTGCTCCTGCTGGGGACTAACAACTTCCTACCCGAGATCCAGCTTCCACATATAACCAGCTACAACACTGCACCATTCACAACATGGCACCCCTAAATACTTCAGTATGAGCCTCCTAAGAATAAGAACATTCTCCTACAAATCATGATACCACCGTCATACTTGAGAAAACTAATAACACTTTATATCATCTACATCCTGTCTGTGCTGGGAGGATGAAGAGCCCACAGATCTTACTGAGAAGATTTACAAGACATGGAAACAACTCTGCATATGTGATAAAGGCTAATATCTGCAAAGGTATCATGTGAGATCACCCTATAGAGTGCCAAGAGGCAAGACTAGGACCAGTGAGTACAAGCAGCACATTTCAGCTCAACTTTTAGAGAGGACAAATTTCTATCAGAGATGTGACAAATGAAGAAGTATGTCTCATTTATTTTTTTTAAAGTGAATTCCACGTTACTGAGAAGAGTCAAAAAAAAAAAAAAAAGACCAGGATGCTAGCTATCAGGGCGCTTTAAAGAAAGATCCTGACCTTGAACTAGATAACTTCATCTCCCTTCTAAACAATAAGGTTCTGGGATTTAAGGTGGCACCTGACTAGGATGTTGCACACTTATCAGTCTAAACTGTGGTATGTCAATGGCACACTCCATGAACATGAAAACTGGTCTTCCTTTAATGGAATCCAGGATGATATCATCTTCTTTAAAAACTTTTAAGTTGCAAAATCACACATGACATTGCACTGACACCTCTGAATTTTGCATAGGTATCAAAAGGCCTACATATGGGCTCATCTCTGTTAAAAATCTTCTGTTTTTCACTCACTATATGAGTCTTTCAAATATTTAACATTTCCAAGTTGCCACTTGTTATACTAGTTATTTATCCCTCTCAGATTCACCCATCTATAAGTTCCACAAGCATGCTTTCTATATTTTCATCCAAGTTCTTAAAGATGATGAGTGGGGAGAGGATGATGAATAGGTGGAGTAAAGAGAATTTTTAGGGCAGTGAAACTACTCTATATGAAGGTCTAATGGTAGATGTGTATTACTGTACAAATCCATAGACCATACAGCACGAAAAGTGAACCTTAATGTAAACCATGGACTCTGGGTGATGATGATGTGTCGCTGCAAATTTATCAATTGTAACAAATGTACCATCTGGTGGGAGATGTTGATAGAGGGGGAGGTTATAAATGTGTGGGGGCAGGGGAGGCGTGGCAAATATCTGTATGTTTCACTCAATCTCTCTGTGAACTTGAAAAAAATATAAAATCTATTAAAATTATAAAATCTACTAAAAACTGCTCTAAAAAATATAAAATCTATTTAAAAAAAAAAAGAAAGAATGAACAGAGAGGATACTCAGGAGAAAAAAAAAGTCCTCTGAGGTATATCTATTTTACTCCTAGGTCACAATGAAATAGTTATTAAAAAGCAAACTATAATATTTAGAAGGCTGAAGCCTACACTGTTGTTTACAACAGATTTAATGAAAGAATGTGTGATCATTAGATGACACGCGACTACATCAGTTTACCATTTAAATGCTACCCAATGGACAGAGGATAGGAAATATATCTGCAGAATTCAAAACTAAAGTGTCCAAACTTACACTAAAAGCTTCCTTATTATTAACGGAACTGGATTCTTCTACTTTATGGTCCTCTTCTAGCATAACACTGGATGGCTAACACAAAGAAAAACACAAGTTACAAAAGCTAAACAATTTTTAACAACTTTAAATTTCATAATTGAATCTGAACACATTCACTTTATTTTCTAATACATATCATTAAGGTATATAAAAGTTTGAATTCATTGCTGTGATAATTAGGGGGAGTGAGAAGTTAAGCTAGATAGGAAAGTTTATGAAAGCTATTTCCCAAGTGGGAAAGTTAAAAAAAGATATAAAAGATAGCATCTTCTGAAACATTAGCTTACACTCTGACTTTTATGTTAATAAATATTAATTATGGAACTTTCAACATTTAAACTGACAAGACAGGCTTTATCTTCAAATCAGATAATAAAAAAATTAAAAATATAAACTTGTCATTGCTGGTCAATGCTGATACTCAAGGCACAAAATTCTGAAGTGTTTCTTGAATCAAAAATTAAATAACATTCAGTATGGTTTTTATTGTTAAATGTATTCTGTTCCTTGAATCTTTAAAAAAATTATATATAATAGATGAAAACTAAAGGTGACAAAAATTTAGTAAACTAGTATATTCCATTCTCCAACCTCTGAGGATAAACAGCTAGAGATCCTTATTTGAGAGCCTCTACTTACCTTAACTTTTAATTAAAAAAAAAAAAGCCCAGAAATCATAATCTTGATTTTCTTGAGATAAATTTATGCCTTAATATTCACACAGTGTAATCTCTCAGATTTCTTTGGGCATGCTACTGATTTTTAAAACAAGTAGAGGGGAAAAAAGGATGATACATGAACTTGTTCATTTTAGTAAAAAAAAAAAAGAAAAAGAAAGAAAGAAAATCCATTTTTTTATAGTCCCCAGAAAAAGAGATGTTTTTCCCTGGCCTAAAATTAATTTTCTGCCCCAAACCATGGGTCCAAGTTAGGAAATGGTGCAGGGGGAAAGGCTTTGAGTGTAGCCAGGTGTGAATATTATTCCCTAAGAAGAGCAATCACAATCCAAAAGAAAGCCCCATGGCTGCATTGGTCAGATTGTGGAGAGGAAGCCAGGTTGCAGGATGGAAGGTGAACAGACAACCTCAACAACCATTCTGGTTTTGATTCAAGAGGATCCCCGGAGTCGCCTAATAATTGGCAGTAAAATGCATAACCTACTAATCTTAAAGTCTCTTAAGTTTGAAATACCTGGGGCAAAAGATTAAAGGAAGTCTTTTCCACATCATTTTTCTGCTGTTCCTCAAATCTTTTTACTAAATTTGATACAAATTCCTCTATTTCTTGATGATATTGCCTGCATAAGAGGACAAAATGGTCAGAACCCAGACAGAGTAAAACACTGACTTGACTGAAGTCATGCATTTTTAGAAGATGGCATGTGTAAATATTGTTATTTTGTTTTTCAGAGTTTATATCAAATCACTGACTGTATGTAACAGTCTAATCTATTCTTTAGGGAAAAAAAAACAAACCATTTTTGCCAAGTTAACAATACAATGATGACAATCTAACATAGTGCCTAGCATGTAAGAGCTGGCAGATACTTACACAAAGACTACATGGATTTATAAATTTTACAAATTTAATTTGTAAATATATAACACATGGAAATGGTTCAAAATTCAAAAGAAGTAAAATAGTTACATAACAAAAAGCCCCCTTCCTACCCTGTTTCACAGCCACTTATTTCTGCAACACACACACAATCAATGCATTCAGCTCTTCCACAGCCTCTTTCCACAGACTCTTTTTGCACACCCAAGGCAACACCTATGTAAATATGACACTGGAGGAAAAAAAAAAGACCAAAATGCAATGCAAGAAAAATGACCGAGGTCTATGCTCTCTAGCTCTCCAGGTCAAGAACCATGTTCATCAAATACTCTTCAGTGCTCAGTTTAGAAGGGGCCATAGAGCCAAATTCCTCTTCGTGGACTTGATGATCTGTTAGGTCTCTTTAGCCCTGACATTCTAAGATTTCTGCAGGCACAACCTCAGGTGAGTGGTGCAGACATTAAGACTGTCAGGAGGGAATTTCCTGGTGGTCCAGTGATTGAGACTCAGCACTCCCAACGCAGGGGGTGTACGTTCGATTCCTGTTCAGGGAACTGAGATACATGCCATGCAGTGTGGCCAAAAAAAATTTTTTTTGAATTGAGAAAAAAAAAAAAGGTCTGCCAGGAGCTTGAGTAAGAGGCTGCCTCTGATGGTGACAGTGGCCCTGGAGTCCCACATGCCCAGCACCGTGCCACTGGCTGTACCACCCCACACAGCTTCAGGTTCCACTTCTGTGAGATAAAGTAGCCAATGGATCAGCCACGCAGGTAACACCTAAGTATGCTCCCTTTACCTTGCACAGTGTCTAAGACATGACAACATGTGACGCGGGAGGGGGCAAGCAACCATCTGAAATGTCTATGACCATGCTTCAAGCAAGATATGGGTCAAGGCCTCAAACCAGTTCAGAACATTCTAGCAAGCATCGTAGGAAAGCACTGAGACATCCTAGACCCAAGAATACTGAAAACTAGCAAGGTCTAGTTTTGCTATTAAAAAAAAAAAAAAAAATCACGTGGTAAGTTTTGAACACAGCCAACAGGGAAGACTCAGCTCCCTGTTCTGGTAGCGAAATGGTGGTAGCAGTGACTTTTATTAGCAGCTAGACAGCTATTTGGGCTATTTGGGTTTCCCTGGTGACTCAGTGATAAAGAATCCACCTGCTAATGCAGAGGCTGCAGGAGAGGCAGGTTCAATCCCTGGGTAGGGAAGATCCCCTGGAGAAGGAAATGGCAACCCACTCCAGTATTCTTGCCTGGGAAATCCCATGGACTGAGGAATGTAGTGGGCTACAGTCAATGGGGTTGCAAAGAGTCAGACACCATTTAGAAACTAAACAATAACAACACTGGGCTCTTACAGGTGCTCATTTAGTTACCTAAAAGGTAGTTACTATTAGGGTCCTGTTTTCCAGTAAGGAAACTGATATGCAGAGAGGGTCAGTGACCTCTCCAGGTTCACATATCTACTAGAAAGCAGAGGTAGCCAGATTCAAATTCAGGTTGATATGACTGCAAAGTCCTGGCTCTTATCATGATTCCATAAATTTTTAGTAAAAGAATACAGATGGTATAAATACAGATGAAAACAGCATATTTATACAAACACTGTATCATAAACACATTAGCTCATAATATTTAGGAAAGAAAAAATTACTTACTTTGAAATAACATTGTTCATAAATAGAATCTGTAATAAAGGTCCATCTAACTTAGTATTGTTCACCAATATTCCACTAAAACAGAAGTTAAAACATATTCTTAGAAGACATTAAAATAAAACTTGCATATGTATATATAAACACTGAACCTTACAAGATCAAGAACCACCAGGAACTCCAGTTTTCACCAATTTTACATACTTGAATAATTTTATAAAGATTATCTTTTACTTTACATATATATTTTAAATATTTCATAAAAAATTAAAAGCTGCAGTCAATCTTTCAGTTTTCAACCAGAAAGTTTCTTTACCTAATGGCTGTTTGTTTACAAATTGAGGAGAGGGAGGAACTGAGTAAACCAGCAGGTTACAAAGAATATAATTCTGAAAGAATCATAGTGAATTTGGCTTGGAAATACGTAGGAAATGGAAACACTTTATAAATAAATGGGTAGACTTTTTGGAGGGCAGAGAACACTGCACTAAACATCCCGGATCCAAAATTTTAAAGTAAAGATGTAAAATTACACTATTCCTGGATGTGACTTTCAAATACTGGAAAAAATAGAACTAGACTGCAGCCTTGAAATCTGCTATATATTCCTTTGGTAACCTGGGAGCAGCTGTATCTGATTTCTCCACACGTTCCTCAAATCCTTGTACCTGTACAGCATGTGAAATCAATCAATCTGTACATGGAACTGCTCACATCAAGTAGAGAAATAAAATTAAAATACGAAGACATCCAGAAACTTGTTTCAATCTGCAAAAACTGCAGTTTAAAAAAAAAAAATACACTGTGGGCTTCCCTGGTGGCTCAGTGGTAAAGAATCCGCCTGCTAATGCAGGAGGCACGGGTTCAATCCCTGGTCCAGGAAGATCCTACATACCATGGAGCAGCTAATCCCACGCACCACAACTACTGAGCCTGCGCGCTACAGGAACTGCAACTCCTGAGCCCTTGTGCCACAGCTACTGAAGGCCGAGCGCCTGAGAACCCGTGCTCCACAAGAGGAGCCACCGCGACGAGAAGCCCACACACCACAACTAGAGCAGCCCACACAGCAACGAAGACCCAGCACAGCCAAAAGTAAATAAATAAATACAACGATCCAACAAAACAAAACACCATGCTTTTAAAAACCACATGCAACTGTGTGACTCTTGACTGGCGTTCAGTTTGAGCAATCAGTGATAAAGGCATTCAGCTGGGGAAATCTGAATATGGTTGAGAATGTTATTAAGGAAATCATGCCAGTTATTAGGTGCGATCATGGCATTGTGGTAATACATGAAAGTTTTTAGAAAAAAGAATACATGCTGAAATATTTGGGGTAAAGTATGTATATGGAATTAGAAGGAAGGTAATATGTCAAAATATTGTGAAATCTAAGTGATAAAAATGAGTATTAATTATACTATTCTTTCCATTTTCTGTACATTTAAAATTTTTATCATATAAAGAAACAACAACAAAAACCAACTCACAATGTTTACTGGGAGACACTGTGATATGTAAGTTCCAAAAATGAGGGTTAAATCAAGACAAATGGGGTACAAATTTTATCTAAATTTTTTCTTCCTTGGTTTTCTATAGAAAGTTCTGTCAGTCTCACAATGTGGAGAACTTTAATTCTAAATAAATAAATATATAGTTTATTCCTTTTTCAGGGTACTAATGCTTCCTTATAAATTGGCAAAGCCTATAATGCTATAATTGTTTAAACTCAGGTGACTGTTAACCCACTTATAAATATTTAATGTTCAAATGATTGACTCTATTACAAAGCATGTGCTTGTCTAAATAAAATATCTCTACACATATAAAAATTATGATTTATTTTTTTAGGAATCCTACTCACATTCAATACATTTACTACCTAACCAAAAACAAGTGTAGATCCACAGAGTGTGCTCACATAGATAGGAAGGTAGGGCATAGAGAAATTATTCTTTAGACATATTCTGAAATATGTCTAAATTCTAAAATTTTAGTCACCAATGCAGCAGGTTACTTCAGCTGGTACCAGGGATAAAAAATTCCATGTGAAACTGCATCATGGCACCCCAAAGTCTGAAAGCCTTAGCATACCACTCTGTATAATAAATGTTTTAATAAATACTTTAGATTTAGTGGCTACTAAATAAACACAAACCAAGAAATAATTGGGGCCTTCTTGGTGGCTCAATGGTAAAGAATCCACCTACCAATGCAGGAGACAGGGTTCGCTCCCTCGTTCGGGAAGATCCCACTTGCTGTGGAGCAACTAAGCCTGTGCGATACAACTACTGAGCCTGCACCCTAGAGTCCGGGAACTGTTAACTACAGAGCCCAGCTGCCACAGCTACCGAGCTGTGCTCTGCAAGAGAAGCCATGGCAACGAGAAGCCTGCATACTGCAACTAGAGAGTAGTCCCTTCTCCCTGCAACTAGGGAGAAGGCAATGGCAACCCACTCCGGTACTCTTGCCTGGTAAATCCCATGGGCAGACGAGCCTGGTAGGCTGCAGTCCATGGGGTCGCTAAGAGTCGGATACGACTGAGAGACTTCACTTTCACTTTTCACTTTCATGCATTGGAGAAGGAAATGGCAACCCACTCCAGCGTTCTTGCCTGGAGAATCCCAGGGACGGGGGAGCCTGGTGGGCTGCTGTCTATGGGGTCACACAGAGTCGGACACGACTGAAGCAACTTAGCAGCAGCTGCAACTAGAGCCAAAGCTTGTGCAGCAATGAAGATCCAGCTAGCCAACAAATAAAATTACATAAAAAAGGAAATATCAACATGTAATTATCTATTAAAATTAGATGCCTGAAAGCAAATTTACTCACTGTACTTTTTTCAAAAGCAACTCCTTTCTCTTCTTCTAAAATATATCTTGCATTGTTTCTATTTACAGACACCCTTTAATTGTGTAAATAAATCTTCAGCTATATCAATACTGTAATTTGAATTCTAACTTTCCAGAAATGTTCACTGAATAGAAACGTGAATAGGTTGATAACTTGCCTGAAGATAACTTATTCTGAAGATTAAGAAAAAATTTCTGGTTTGTGTTTCACACGTATTTTCACCCAGTCAGTTTCAAAGTTTAATGCAGTTATGAGAATTCAAATTTTACCCTCATAAATTAAAAATAAAGGATCATTACTCTGATTTCTTCAGAGTATACGGGACACATACAAGCAATACAAAAATCCCAAATACTTAAAAAAAAAAAAAAACCCAAAACCTTCGATTAAATATTAATATCAGGACAAAATAAAAAGTACATTATAGTGCAAATTCAAGATCTCATACCTTGGTCGAGTCAAAATATTCAATTTTCTTTTAAGTTCTTGATGTTATTACTTGTTAAGGAGTATAGCCCTCATTAAACAGAAATAAGATCATAAAATTCAACCACTAACCTCATTTTTGATGTCAGTGTTATGAACATGTTATAAATATGTTACAAAAGTTAAAAGACAAATATTTTGAGGATGACACACTTACTGACCTTTTCTGTTGCAGGACTAGTACCTGGATCTAAAAAGCTGAAGTACATACCCTTCCAACACGGTATTTCTAAGATAGGGTCATGTAATTCAAAAGAGACTAAGAGACTGAAACCAAAAATGCTATTCGGACAAGAGTGTATAGTCAGAAGTTAAACAGCCACTTAAAACGTTCCAGGTCAAAAGCATCATGATAACTCAGTAAGGTAAATGCAGCATAACAAACCGTTAAGAACTGAACAATCTAAGACGGAATCTATGAATGTTCACCGCCAAATCCTTTCAACTTTTCTGTCTTTAGAAATTTTCCACAATAAAATGTCCAGGAAAAAGGCATTATGAAAAAAAAGGCTTCGAAAACCTTACACTAGAAAAAAGTTTCTGAACCAAAATTGTAAGCTCAGTAAAAATAAACAAAAATTTTAAAAATAAGTTAACCCCCACCAGCAAACACCCTCTAAAAACATATAAACATATTAACACATTTTGCTAGAAAGGCCGTGGACATGTAACTAAAGTCTAACGGAAACTTATTGGGAGCGTTTTCCCTGGAGCTCTGCAATGCACATTCCACACAGAAGCTGTTTCAAAGTGGAAGAACTTTCAAATGAATCCCCAATGGTCATCAGTCAATGAACCATTTCTCTGTGCATGCCTCGACTCCGTAGGGACCCCAACTCCACAGAATAGGACCACTAACTGGCCCCGCCTTAAAGACACATCTGCGCCCAGGTCAAAGTAGCCGGTATCTCCTAGTACACCACAGAGCGTGACTGCATCAACTTTACACTGGCTCCAAAAAAGGAGACCGGATAATGACTCAAAGGACGGGAAGAGACGTAGTGAACAGTCTACAACTGAACAGTTTAAACAGTCAGTAATACCGCTAAAATCCCGCCTCAGACTCGCGGACGGGAGAAGCGAATCAGGTCTACGAGACGAATCCCACAAGGGGAGAGGTCTGTGCCGAGGCCTCGAGCACAGCTTATGCAACCCGAACCCTAGATTCTAAGGCTGAATTCTGGCCCTTGTGGAATTTCCGCCCGCGCCCTACCGGCACGGGCCCCACCACACGCCCCGGTGACAGGGCCCAGCGAGCGGGAAGGATATTCTCGGCGCGGAGCTGCTCGATGGTTTCCTCGCACTGCCGAAGCCGTTCCCGCAGCTCCGCGTCGCCAATCCCATTCTCGTCCTCCTCGTCGCCGTCGTCGTCCTTGAAGCGGGTGTGAACAGGCTTCGGAGTCGAGTCCTCTGGGTGGTCAAACGCCTCGAACAGCTCTAAATCGCCAAAATCCACCTCCGCCGCCATTTTGGGCTGTGGGAAAGATACGAGAAGAGGCGCAGCTGGCCACCGGGCCGGAGGCGAAGATTTTGTTGGGCGGAACCGCTCTCTAGGGCCCCCACCGCGCTAAGCCACCCAAGTAGGGTATCCTCCAAACGTAGGCCGCCGAAGTAGCACAAGGGGCGGGCCAGTCCTGAGACTACAACTCCCAGAATGCAGTGGCGTCTCCTCTACCCACTTCCGAGATTGCTCGGGATCATGGCATTCTGGGATATGTGGTTTCTAAGCGACTGTTAACTCATTGTTTGCATTGCATACTGGGATTGGTTGTTTTTAACGTGAAGAAAGCCGAACCAGATCAGAAAGTGTTACAATGCGAGTTGTCCCCGTTTTGCCTCAAAAGTAGGAAAAAAAAAAAAAAAAAAAAAAATCAAAGCACGATGCATGGCTTGTCACAGATTCTGGTGTTCATGCCAAACAGCAATAAGGAACTCCAGTTTTGCCACAGACTACCTTTTTTGTTCTTGGAGAAGCTACTTCAGTTGATTGGACTTGTTTCACTTTTTCATAAAAAGCTAGCTTGATTTTAGATTATTTTAGATTTGTCCCTAGAAGCTTCTGGTGGTATCTCTCCTTCAATCAACCCACTCCAGTACTCTTGCCTGGAAAATCCCATGGACGGAGGAGCCTGGTAGGCTGCAGTCCATGGGGTCACCAAGAGTCAGACATGACTGAGCGGCTTCACTTTCCCTTTTCACTTTCATGCATTGGAGAAGGAAATGGCAACCAACTACAGTGTTCTTGCCTGGAGAATCCCAAGGACGGGGGAGCTTGGTGGGCTCCTGTCTATGGGGTCGCACAGAGCCGGACACGACTGAATCGAGCGGCGGCAGCAGCAGCAGTTCCTTCAATCACTCGTTCATTCAACATTTATTTACCGAGTTCTGTGTGCTAGGCACTGTTCTAGGAGCTGAGGATGCTAGAGTGAGCGAAATAGAGACGGCCTGGTCCTGCTTTCATAGAGGGTGCAGCCTAGCAAAAGAAACAAAAGAAAAGTGAAAGTCACCAAGTAGTGTTCAACTCTGGGACCCTATGGACTGTATAGCCTGCCAGGCTCCTCTGTCGATGGAATTCTCTGGGCCAGAATACTGAAGTGGGTAGCATTCCCTTCTCCAGGGGATCTCCCAACCCAGGGATTGAACCCAGGTCTCTCGCATTTCGAGCCAAGCCTTTACCAACTGAGTCACAAGGGAAGCCCAAGAATACTGGAGTGGGTAGCCTGTCCTTCCTCCAGGGGAATTCTCTGGACCCAGGAATCGAACTGGGGTCTCCTGCATTGCAGGCGGATTCTTTACCAGCTGAGCTACCATGGAAGCCCAAGTTCAGTTCAGTTCAGTTCAGTTCAGTTCAGTCGCTCAGTCGTTTCTGACTCTTTGCAACCCCATGGACTGCAGCACACCAGGCCTCCCTGTGCATCACCAGCTTCCGGAGTTTACTCAAACTCATGCTGATTGAGTCGGTGATGCCATCCAACCATCTCATCCTCTGTCGTCCCCTTCTCCTCCTGCCTTCAATCTTTCCCAGCATTAGGGTCTTTTCCAATGAGCCAGCTCTTCGCATCAGGTGGCCAAAGTATTGGAGTTTCAGCTTTAACAGCAGTCCTTACAATGAATAGTCAGGACTGATTCCCTTTAGAATGGACTGGTTGGACTTCTTGTTTACCAGGGGACTCTCANAAGAATTTTCCACAGTTTGCTCTGATCCACACTGTCAAAGGCTTTGGCGTAGTCAATAAAACAGAAATAGATGTTTTTCTGGAACTCTCTTGCTTTTTCGATGATACAGTGGTTGTTGGCAATTTGATCTGTTCCTCTGGTTCCTTTTCGGAAGCCAAAAGAAACAAAAAAATAAACGTAAACGTTTCTGATCTTGGGTCAAAATGGATATTGATGGGAATTCATCTTATTAAAAGATAAATATGCATAAAAAACACAGGAAATTATTGATATATAACAAATTAGAAATTTCGGTGGGAGTCTGAATTGAGGAGTTGAGTTTTGAGCTGAATTATGAAATGTTAAAGAGAGCAAAGTTGGTGGTGAGCGTGGGGGATGGTATTAAGAGTCTTAGACTGGGACTTCCCTGGTGGTACAGTGGAAAAGAATCTGCCTGCCAGTGTAGGGGACACAGGTTTGAGCCCTGGTCTAGAAAGGTTTCATATGCCTCAGAGCAACTGAGTCCGTGTGCCCCAACTACTGAGCTGGCTCTGGAGTCCTTAAGCCACAACTACTGAAGCCTGCTCACCCTAGAGCTTGTCTCCACAATGAGAAGCCGCCACGAGAAACCCGTGCACCGCAATTGAGAGTAGCCCCCACTCTGCGACTAGAGAAGCTTGCACAGCAATGAAGGCACAGTGCAACCAAAAATAAATAGATAAATGAAGAAGTGGAGTCTTAGGCAGAGTGGAACAAAATGTGGCTGGAACATTAGGCAAGTGCTCACAGATCACACTAGGGATATTCTTTCCAGTCCTAGAATTGGGAAGTCATTTCAACATTTTAAACAAGTGGTGTGTCCATGACCCACCAATTTTCACTGTGATAAGATGATCCTGATTCCATGTTTGGAAAAGGATAGGCATGGAGCTGAGTAACATTCTGATTGTAGCAGACAGATCACTATTTTGTAATGAAATCAACAAATGTTCACTTGGATTAGGGTAGTGTCAACAGTAACGTAGAGTTGATATTCAAATAGAGGATATTTAAGCGGCTTCCCTGGTGGCTCAGTGGTAAAGAATCTGCCTGCAATGCCAGGAGACCGGGTTCGATCCCTGGGTCAGGAAGATCCCCTGGAAGAGGGCATGGCAACCCATTCTGGTACTCTTGCCTAGAGAATCCCATGGCCAGAGAAGACTGGCAGACTGCAGTCCTTAGGGTCACAGAGGCTGAAATGACTAAGCAGCAGCAGCAGAGGATATTTATAAGATAAAGTAACAGAGATAATTGAAGGGTTGTAAATGGGGAATGAGAGAAGAATGAATTATTTGCCCAGATTCTGACTTAACTGGCTGAACGATTGCTTGAGAAAAACTGATGTTGACTATGTTTGGGAGTAAAGGGCGAGTTCCATTTTCACTGCGTGGTAACTTGAGGCAATTTTATCCTTAGAGATAAGTATGAGTGGAAGAAATTCTTGAAGCACTGGTGTATTAGTATATTGAAGGTGGAAATTTAGGCCCCAGGGAAGAGGTATGTATTAGTCAGGTATTTGGGACTAAACTCCAGAAAGAGGTCTGAACTAAAGATTAGCATTTGACTGGATCAAATTTTTATGCAAAGTCAATACAAGGATAGGAGAATGAGACTGCATAATGTAGAATGGGAAGTCTGGGACTGAGTCCTAGAGGGCTGGGATTGAGAAGGATGTGACAACTGCAGAAATTGATGAATGGCCAATGGGAGAACTTGGAGAGGGCTCCAGACTAAGTGCTTACTCTTAAAACCATCTTTTGGAAAAAAAAAAAAAAATCTTTTGGCCTATGAAATGTAACCTGAAATGATAAATCACACAATTTGTTTCTACCTCTACCAACCTACTACTTAAAATGGAATTTACATTAAAAAAAAAAAAACCTGGGAATATTTACATTATTTCTAATTTAAATCACAATAATCACCCAAATTGGAACCCTCATCTTTAAATTTACTTACTCTCCAAGTCAACTGCCTTTACAGAGTTTATTAGACCTTGCCTCAAATAGTGTGGTCTTATCTTCCTGCCTGCCTAGCTACCAAGTCTTTACAGAACCTATTGGACAACTTACGTTCCTGTTGCATACAAAAGTAAAGCCAACATCCATCAGAAAATACCAGGCTTTGGAAAAGAAAGCACAGTAGTAGCCAGGAAAAGGGGGAAACAAAGTTTAAGCACATAAAAACTATGGAGTTTATCTTCCTATGAAGTCATTTCCAACCAAGCCAAGCAGTTAACTGTCCCTTGCCTCCAGGACTCCAGTAATTGTTTCCTGAAGTTTAATTATGCTAATTACAATAACCTATATGCCTCCATCTAAATTTATTGTCCAGGACTGTTGCCCCTGGCTGTATGTGGCTATTATAGTCCAAGTCACTCAGTCGTGTCCTACTCTTTGTGACCCTGTGGACTGTAGCCCACCAGGCTCCTCTGTCAATGGGATTTTCTGGGCAAGAATACTGGAGTGGGTTGCCATTTCCTCCTCCAGAGGATCTTCCCAATCTTAGGATCAAACCCAGGTCTCCTGCATTGCAGGCAGGCTCTTTACCATTTAGGCTACAAGGGAAGCCCAAAGATGGGTTCTTCACCACTAGACCACCAGGGAAGCCCCTCTTCTTTAAATGTGGCTAGGCCCAACTGGGTTAAAATACAAAATATCCACTGGATTTCAAAAATAAACATGAAAATAACAGATTGAAACCTCAATTAAAAGTACATGTTACCTATTCAATTATTTAGACATTAAATGAATCAAAATCAGTTCCCTGTTTAAAACTGGCTACAAAAATTCTTAAGAGTGGACTGTTATTCATAATTTATGTCTAGC